CGGTTTAAATTTGCGGGGGCGGGGGCGGGGAACGTAAAATCCGCCCCGCCCCGTTGCCATGCCTATGTGAGACTACTAAAAATAATTAAAAACCTTCACATAGTTACTCAAAAAGAAGTGTTAGTTAGAAAAGTATAATAACAAATTTAAACATAATTCTTAAATAATATTAGTAGAGTTGAAACATTTTATATTTCTATATTTTATTTAACGAAAAATATTTAAAAATGATTAATATTTATTAAAATAATATCCAAACTTTATGATCTTAAATTTAATTTTATATTTATAAGAATGATTAATTTTAAATATTATTTTTATTATTTATAAATTTTTTAAAAAATATCTAAAAAAATATATATATACATTTTCATCTTTAGGATAAAAAAATAGGATAAAAAGTAAAAAAGAGTGAACACTAGACAATTTTTTTTATTAATGTTATAAATAATAAATTAGTAAAATATTGAATGACTTAGATTAAAAAAGGTATTGAGGGGTAAATTTTTAATATGTATTTTTATTGATAAAAAATATTTCTTTAATATATTTAAAATTTACAATTAAATTATAAAGAGATTTTTTTCTTTTCGTCAAATCATCCCCGCCGGCTACCACCACACCCCTCCACCCACCCACTATCTCCGGCCTTCCATTGTATAAGGCAACTAGAAACTGAAGATGAACCCAACACAGAAAAAAAAAACTCCAGCAGTTCAGCACAGAAGAGAAGCAACAATAAAAGAAAAGAAGAAAATAATCAGAATCAGAAAATTGAATGAAACTATTTTTCAAATAATAGTTACTTTGTAAGTAAGACGGGGAATTAGGGAGAGCAGCGTAGAAAAAGTATGGTAGGGATAGTTTAGAAGGGTTTATGTAAAAATTTGGCGAACTTTACCCAAAAAATAAAAATAAAAAATCCTGACGAATTAACTAGATTTGTGTGAAATTTATTTTTTAAAACATTATATTCATTCATAAATATGTTACTACCCATATTCGTGTTCATACATAATCGAATGTGAGTATATACATATAACACATCATAATTGAATTTGTTCTATTTTTTTTTTCTTCTATTTCTTATTTAATCAATTTCATTCATATCTTTCCATTTCCTTCAATTCCTTCTCTACTAAGCAAAGGGTTATGGTCACAGATCTAGAGGAAGAATATATTAAGATAATGAAATGAACAAGAGTACGGGTAGAATTGAATGAAATAAAATATATCATTATTCTTTATTGTTTAAACCCATTCTATAATAAAAAATTAAAATTTCAAAAGTGAAATGAATTTATTCAGTAGAAATGGAACGGATATTCCTTCCCGATAAAAGTGTCTATTTCTTTTATTTTCTTTTTGAAAGAGTTTATATTCAACTAAAAAGGTTTTTATATGATTTTTAAAATTATTATTATTATAAAAATCAACTAATGATTTGTGATTAAATAATAATAAAAAATTATTATAGTATATACCACCGTTGCTATCTATAATATCTAATTACTTAATTCATCAAAATTAAAAAATTAGTTAATTTAATTGATAATAATAACTTTATCTTATTTATATTATAGTGTATACTTATATATCTTCTAACCAATTAGAATTTATGTCTTAGAATGCATTGACATATCTCTCATAATTAATATTCATCTTTCTTCTAATTCATTAAGGTGCATATTTTTTAAAGAATTTATAATTAATATAATTTACAAGTTAAGAGAACATACTTTAATTAAAGATATTTTAGTCTAAAAATGATTAATGAGACAATATAAATTATATCAGCAATAGAAGAATAACTACTGCAAGTTTAGTCTTATAAATAAGAATATAGGTAATAATTTTGTTTTTTTACACCATCGGTGCATAGCATATTTTATTTTTTAGAAAACTCAGAACTAAACTCGGAAATGACTTTATCTTTCTAATGCATTCCAATAATTTCTTCCCACCAAATAGTTGTTGAGATGTGTTGAAAACTGAGCAGAAATCGTATTCTCAGAATATCAAGCACGACGAGCTTTAGCTTTATAATAATAATTTGGCCATGATGCGATGAAACTTTAGTCAATATAGACGACTCTGCAATTCGCATCCTTCAACTTTCTGCTCTCTTTTGCCAAGATTTGACATCTTGTTCTTGCTTGTAATAAAACAAATAAATAAATAAGGTGCCCAGCAAATCAGAAAAAGAGATTCCAGTTAGGAAAAGAAATGGGAGACAATGTCATCTGTCTCACAACTTTCTAGTGTGGATTACAAGTTACAACCACTAGTGAAATTCTAATGCACACACATATTCACTAAGATAAGAAGGTGATGGTTCAGAGAGCGGTACCATATGTTGGATTATACTTATTCAGAAGATAAGAAGCTAATTCTTATGAGATAAATAACACGTGATCTAATTTATTAGCACTTTATTTTACTGATTACAGGTGCACAATATTTCAGCAAGAGAATGTGAAAGGAATCAACGTGTAAAATATGGCCATTTGACTGCAACAAAATTGATCTGATATTTTCCCAATTTACAATAGAATGAGGTGAATCCATAACTATGAACCTATTTGGATACAAGTTTAAAAATACTTTTGAGAATTTTTCTACCAAAAAATACTATTTATTTTCAATAGAAAAACTCTAAAAAAAAATACTTTTAACTTGTATCTAAACAAGTTCTATGAACGAATATCACCACACTTGGCAGTTGGTCCAGTAAGATTACATGTAAGTTTCCACATTGGGAAATTTAAAACAAGCAAAAGTGAAAAACATGTCATCATGTTTATTCCCATGCTCTTGGAGGCTATTAAATTCCTCTATATATTGGAGTCGCACCATTCTTCCAAAGCCTAACAAACAACAAAGTACCAAGTTAAAAAACAAAATCAATGATGTTGACACATTGCAATGAATTATGCAAGCCAGTTTCTATTATGATTCTAGTTAACTTGGCTCTGGCTTTTGTCAATTTACTTCTGAAGAAGGTTCTTAATGAAGGAGTGGACTACATGTCCATTATAACATATAGACAGGCAATTTCATTTATCTTCATGGCACCTGTGGCCTGCTTCTTTGACAGGTAAGAACCAATTTCATTTATTATAACATTGTTTGATATATAGCCAACCCTATTTAGTTGGGGGAATGGTTGTTGCATTCTTTTTCTCTGCCCCCTTAAATCAACATATACTTTTAGTTAATGTTCTTGCCCTCGTTTGTTGTCTTGTATACAAGTCACCTTTAGTGACTCAGGTTTACTTCTAGAACTACCCAAATTTTACAAATTACTGGACAGAGCAAATTTCTATTTTTTACAGAAAACACAAACTGGAGCTTCACATAATAAGTCTCCTTTTCCTCAGTGCTCTACTCGGGTAAGTAATATTGTAACTAAAGATACGCTTCTGGTTCTGTATTGATGTTGTTTTAATTGTAATATAACTAGTGCTTAGTGGCTAGCAAAATCTCAGAATATCTTGAAACCTAATCCCTCTATACCCAAAATGGCAAAACCTCATATTTCAACAAATTGTAACAGGTATAACTAGTCACTGAGTTTATATTTTAATATTTTATTAATGTTTTTCAGAGTAACATTTCCCCAATACCTATATCTTGTCGGACTTGGATATACTTCTGCCACATTCTCATGTGCGTTCCTCAACATGGTGCCTGTATTTACATTCATTATGGCGGTCCCATTTGGGTAAGTTAAACAAAAGGGTATTACTTGATTGTGGAATACAACACAAATTTTTTGATCCTTTGGCTTGAAATTTTTCTAGGATAGAGAAGGTGAACATACAAAGCAAGAGTGGTAAAGCAAAAGTCATGGGAACTTTTGTCTGCATTGGTGGAGCCATGTTATTGGTCCTTTATAAAGGAATGCCCCTTATCAATCCACAATCACAACACATGGCAAACAAAATAACAAATACACCACCAACTGCCAAGTTAGCGAAATGGATCATAGGTTCCTTACTTTTGACTGTAGGTTGCCTCTTGTGGTCATCATGGTTCATTATACAAGCAAAGATTAGCAAAAAATACCCATGTCAATACTCTAGCACAGCTATTTTGTCACTTTTTGCTGCTACTCAATCAGCAATATTAACTTTGATCATCAAGAGAAATAATGCTTCGTGGATTCTCAGAGGCAAGCTAGAAATAATGAGTGTTATATATGCTGTAAGTATATTCTCTACAATAACATGCGTCATTTAAACCTATTTTGAAATAGTCTGTTTCTTTGCAAATTCCAACTTCAAATCTAAATATTGATAGCATTTCAATTAAAAGATTCAAATTTGTTGTTTATGTGAGCCTAGGGATTGGTAGGGTCAGGATTGTGCTACGTGGCAATGTCATGGTGTGTCAAACAAAGGGGTCCAGTTTTCACCGCAGCTTTTACCCCCCTTATACAAATATTTGTAGCTGTGCTTGATTTCTATGTACTAAAGGAGGAAATTTACCTGGGAAGGTTGATTTCTTTAATCACTCTTTAATGATTTCCACCCTTTCTGCATTCCACTGCACCTAATGTATCTCCATCTGCAATAAGCAGTATTGCAGGATCTGCCTTGGTTATTGCTGGCATGTATATTCTTCTATGGGGAAAAAGTAAAGAGGAAGGGCAACATGTTCTGAAGGATACGCAAACAAATCAAGATGTAGAATGCCAATAGCAATGCCACAAATGACAATGATCCAAATGTGTACTCTAATCATTGCAAGACACAAGTTCTCTAAATAACAAAAAGGAAGTAATGTGCTATTTATAGGAACCAAAAGCTGATAAGTTCTATACAAAATAAGTAATGTGCTATTTAGCCTAAGGATAAATATTTTGTCAATTATTCGAGTCAATAATAGACTTTAACCTAAACATCAACCATTGCATGCTTAATCTTGAAGTTTTATCTCAACATATATACTATATGGATTTGTACATGCGAAGTACAAGAATTCCAACTTCACATGGAGAAATGGAACAGCATCCACTCATCAATATCTGGAATATTAAAGAATTCGTGCTTGCACCATCTTAAATAAAGGGGGGAAGGAATATGTTTCACCAGAATAATGGTCAAATGTTGAAGAAAATAATTTCACTTTCAATGAATCAATCAATCTAAAAATTAAACCTATTAATAAAAAAAAATATCAGCAACAAGAATACTGGACATCAAGTAAGAACCTGGAACATCAGCAAGCAAAAAATCTGAACCTGGAACATCAAGTTCATTTCAGATAACAAGAATACTTGATATATTTCACTGTGACCACTGTATCCAATTCCAATAAAGATCGAATTGATTAACTCATGTCATATTGGTCACTTATCATTTTAATTTTAGCTGACGATATATCTGCAACAGGAACAAAAGATAAAAATACATTGCAATAAAAGAAGCAGTACATCTAACTATTTGGGAGTGCAAATTTTTTTCCCACTCATTAACTGGTAGTTACAGTTCAAAAATTTACATTTAACGAGTTGTAACCTTCATATTGCCTGAATTTTTTTCTTTTTTTTTTTTGAAGAAAAAAATTATGGTGAGAGAATGGTGCCTCAATTTTAAGGCAGGAAAAATCTCTGAACTCCAAAAACACATAACTAAAAGTTTTGCTAAACCCATAACTAAAAGGACTTCTGATCTGATAAATGACTTTGAGCTCCAGATGATAATTCTTCCAAAAATAATATTGGTACAAACTTTTAACACCATCTACTCAAAAGAGATGCAAGTCATCTTCCATTGATGTATCATTCAATGATCTTTCATGATTGTCTTTGAGACAGCTAAATTTCATTTGATAGACAACAAAATTTAGCATAGAATAAGTTTCCTCTGAGTCATAATGTGATTTATCGTGAGCAATAAATCTATGAAGGATTCCAGCTATTTCAACAAAACTAAACCCAGGTGATTTTTTCACCCCTCTTTTCTCCATAGCTTCTCTCATGCTTCTTGCATCATCCCAGCGTTTGTCAACCGCATAAACATTTGATAAGCCAATATATCTACCATCATGATTTGGTTCTAACTCGATAAGCTTCCTGCCAACTATTTCTGCAAGAGCTAAATTTCTATGGTTAATACAGCCACTAAGAAGAGCACCTAACATGGAAGCTGTTGGCTCTATGGGCATTTGGCAAATAAATTGGTATGCAGTGGTTAATTGACCTGCACGTGCCAGCACATCTACCATGCAAGCACAGTGTTCGCTTGTAGGTGTCATGCCACATTTACTAAGACTCTCAAAGAAATACCAAGCTTCTTTAACTAACCCTCCATGGGCACAGGCAGCCAACAAGCACAAGTATGTGACCTCATCAGGCACAACACCAGCTATTTGCATTTCCCTAAACAATTTAAGGGATTCTTCAACTAAACCATGCATTGCAAGACCTCCGATCATTGCATTCCAAATCAACACATCGGATTGACTCTTAGAGACACCACGGAATACAAGCAAAGCCTCCTCTATTGCCCCACATTTGGCATACATGTCCACAAGAGAAGTCTGCAAGACCAATGTCAATGGCAATCCACTGTCAACTATGTACTTGTGTATCATTCTCCCCTTCTCTAAAGCACCCAGGTGTGCACAGGCACATGAGACACTCACCATGGTGACTTCATTGGCTTTGGGCCCAACAGCCCGCATCTTTTCAAAGATAGCCATAGCTTCCCCACATTCCCCAGCCTTAACATAACCGTCAATCAAAGAGCTCCATGACCGAACATCCTTCTCTGGCATGGACTCAAAAACTTTCTGAGCCATAGCCATTTCTTCACACTTAGCATAGCCATCCAACATGGAATTCCATGAAACCAAATTTTTCCCCTGTATACTATCAAATACCCTTTGAGCCCACACAATATTCCCACAAGAAGCATACATGTGGATCAAAGAATTCTGGATAAATCTATCAGACTCATGCCCAGTTCTTATAATATGTGCATGCACAGATACACCAGTTTCCTGGTTTAAAAGGCGTGCTGATGCCTTCACAAGAAATGGGTATGTAAAGTGATCGGGTGCAACCCCAAGTCGCAGCATCTTTAGAAAAATAGATAGTGAATGGTTTGGAATTTTGCTATTTGAGTAGCCTCTTATGATTGTATTCCAGTTAAAAATTGTTGGACAGGGAAGCTGGGAGAAAACCCTGTAGGAATAGTTAAGGTCACCTGAATTGGATAGAGCAGAAAAACAAAGAATTTTGGATATAAATTGGTCATCTTGAGATAAACCAGAGGAGATCACAACAGCATGAAGTTGCTTCAGTTCAATCATTGATTTGCATTTATCAAGAAGGCTGAGTAAATTTGGGTATATATTTGTAATTTTACACGACAATGACACACCAAGCATTTACAGATATATCTTGTAAAACCTGCAGATCTAATGCTTCAAGTGTTATGTATCATCCAAGCAAGTGTGAGCCCAGGCAACACTGTTAAGAAACATAGAATACAATGGTTAGGGTCCAGTGAGTCCTCTGAATTGAATTTAAAAAATGAGGCATTAACGAAGTAGAGCCAGCTAAGTAAACAGGAAATCATATTAAGACATAATGGAAGCCCTCAGGCCTAAACCTAAGTTCCTAACTAAACAAAAAAGATGAAACAGATTATTTGATCAAATGAAGAAATAAAGGAACCTGTCTTCTTTTATAGTTCGTTGTAATAAAGCTATTTATTTCATAAAACCTTCCAACAGCCCACAATTTCATATCACTTTCAATCAATGAAAATGCAGAAAAATAAGATTTTAGTATTGATGCACCATGACCTAAGAAAACACGAACTAGGGTCAACCAAAATATCCGTAAGAAATTTGAACTGAATCAAACAACCCAGGATGACCCATGGATTATGACAATGCATGATTAGTATATTACTCTCCTAAATGTTCAATTCCCAATTTAGCACAGCAAAAAGTTCAAACCCCAGTTCAAGATTGAAGAATAATCCAATCTCATATTTCTTGACATTAAAGACCTTTGACCAACAACTTAATCACCATTAGGAAAAAAATAGTTCTCCCAGAATGATGAAGACTAAACCATCACAATCAAAATTAGGAAAGTTACCAAGCATTAAACACAAAAACATGGATATTTAGACATTTAATCAAACATAACATACTCCATCCTCAAAAACACATAGCACAATAGTGAAAAGCAACAGTCACCTAAATCTCTCAACTAAACAGATGGATTATATTAAATTCAACTTAAAGCGTAATCAAATACCAAATATAGTACATTAGCAACAGCATTCCCCTCTTCGCTTGTTATGTTATAATTTGTACTCTTTTAGCCAACAGAAGGTACAGCATAGCAGTGCATAATATGAACTCACTAGCAATCCAATTCGTACAAACTACAAAGCGAATTATTCCCCATCAAGATTTTGCTTATGCAAACAAGTTTGTTTCAGTCATTTTATCAAGCAAGTTGCAGTCAGTAACCCTGTCTGATTCCAGTAAATAGCACCAACAGTTTTGAAACTTAGTTCAAACATAAAAGCAACACGAAATAATCACATATTTTAAAATGAAGCATACAGCATCATCAAAGTAGACAAAGACGCAAAACCAACAATATAGTTAAGTCCAAGTAATTCATACCAACAAATAGAGACGTGTTGATGTTTGTGGAGGTTTCCTTTCACGCAACATACCATGGTAATTTTATGCTTGCATAAGCATTATTTTCACGTTTATATTTCATATGTCTTATTTGTTTGCTGCACTTCACTTGTTTCAATGTTGCAATGTAAATAATTTCATGCAATTCTTAACAATTTATCGAACTCGGTCTTTTGCGCTTCGTTAGGCTAGTTCCTATTTATATTTACATGGGGTTGTAGAGTTTATCTGCGACAAAATAATTAACCCTACCGTACATTTTTATTTTATATAATTAAAATTTATAATATTATTTAAATATATGAATTATATTATAATTAAAATTTGTGATAAATAAATATTTTACTATACAAATTATATTTAATTTTATATAATAAATAATTTATATAAGAGAGTGGGAAGAGATTAAAAGAAAACGAAAGAAAAAAAAAAGGAAAAAAAGGCGATGATTATTAAAAGTAGTGAATGGTTAGTGAGTCTAAAATAGAGTGGTGGGATGGTTAGTGAATTTATAAGATAGCAATAAATGGTTTAAGAAGCAATTAAATGATAAAAATATTTATTAAATTTTGTATATAAAATATGGGTATTCTTTTTATCATTAGAATTTTTTTAATATAAAATTATTGAAAGAAGAAAAAGAAAGTGCTTCTATGTTTTTAAATTTTAAAATAAAATACAAGAATAAGAGCGACTAACCGACTTAAAGAAATAGAGTGAAAGTAATTCACATTGATTAGGTATTACATTGATTGAATTCTACGACTATAATGTTTAAGAGATCAAAAGTTTATTTAAGATATTTTTACTCGTACATAATTTTGTATAAAATCAAAATAATTTAATAAGATTGTATAAAAATATTAAATAATAAAAATTATTGTAATATTTTAATTAATTTCAATATAATTTATTAAAAATAGAAATTAATAAAAATACATAATTATAAATAATGATAAATGCACAACATGATATTAAATAAATGACTAATACATAACAATAACAATGAAAAAATAAACAACAAACATTTTTATTATAAGCAATTGTTGCTTATATAAAATATAAAACTTGGAGCATCTACAATTGTAGTTCACGAAACAACTTTATCAAGGAAATGACGTTGCTTTTTAGTCCGTGACCGTTGTAAACAATTGAAATAAAAAAAATTTCTAGACAAAAGTTGTTTTAGCTAATAATATGCAAACAAACCAACAAATATTAAAAATTATATATTTTTTATTTTACTATTGCGTTTTTTTCATTTACATATAAATAAAGGTTTTTCATAAGAAAAATTGCACAACTAAACATCTTAAATTTATCTCTATCACTTTCAAAAAAAATCAATTCTTCTTTCATTATATGGATTCAAACTAGAATCCATGGTTTAATTTGATGCCAAATTATTAACAACCCACAAATTCAAATTTCTAAAATCCATGGTCTAACAAAAGTAATTATTAATAATGTCACTACTTTTTTTATTGTTCCAACAATTTTTTTAAATGATGATAAAATAAAAATTGGTTGTTTTTTAAATTAATTATTTTATAATTAATTAATTAATTATAAATTAATAAATAAGTTCATAATAAAATACAATGATGTAAGTTTTTTGATGGGACCCATTGAAAACACTCATGAAAAGTTGTTTCATTGTAGAAATGAAGTGTTTTGAAGTGTTTGTACGAGGAAGAGTAAAAATGAATGATGTGTATAAGTGGATCCTATTGGAAGTACTCAAATGAAATTACTTCATTCTTGTATCATCTGAATTCTTTTTGGTATAAAAAATAAATAAAACTATTTAAGTTTTAGATACAACTAGATTGATATCCGTGTGATGCATGATTTATTTTAATAAATTGAGTAAAATGATATTTAATTAATTTTATAAATAAAAATTGATAACAACAATAGATATAAGATATAATAATATTAAGAAATAATATAAAAAAATAAAATATATAATAAATTGTTATAAATTATTGAAAACTTCATGATAAACAACATCATATCATATATTTAAATGAAATGCTATCATTTAAGAGGGTTAATAATAACTTCGGTATATACATATCTTGACACTGATTTGATTATTCAATACGACTTTTTCTTCTAAAACACATTTTCCTAATAGTAATATATTAGTAGTAGAAATGTTTATAATCATTTTTTTATATTTTAAAGAAAAAAATATTATAGAAGTTGTTCACTTCAATAATGTGTTATTTTTTTCGTTAATATTTACTATTTTACTATATAATCATAATTATTTTTAATAATTATTTCTTATATAAGTTTTATAACTATTTTTACCTTTAAACTGCAATAATTTTAAATTATTGTAATTAATGAATTTAAAAAAATAGTTGTGGAAGAGGTTATTGAAGATCTGCATGAATATGAACGAAGCCTTAATCTACATCAAGAAAAAGATTACATTCCAACGACCAAATTCAAATTTAAACAACGGGTAGATTTATCAGATGTATATAAACATCAAGACAAAGAAGAAGGAGACAGAATTTTATCAAGGTTTAAAGCAACTAGCAAAAAAATTAAGATATTTCCAAAAAAATATAGGATTTAGTATTTTGAAATTGTCATGAGCACTCTCTATCCCAAAAACATAAGGTGTTAAGTGAAGACACGTGAAAGGTTTTTGTATTATATCTCTAACAAGTGATTAAAAAGGAGAATATACCTTAACCTTTAAAATTTCCTTTTCCAACACACCTTTGAGCTCCTCAACCTTTTCTAACAAGTGATTAAAAAGGAAAAATCGATGGATACAAGAAGTTTGGATCTAGATAATATAATTGGAAAAACAAAAGAATTATACAAATAAAAATCAAATATTAGATAAGAAAAGGGAAAAAAACTATTATGAACATGTAAGAATTGCATGTAACAAAATCAATGGATAGAAAGGCAAAAGATTCAAAATCCTGATAAATTTACATGACAGCCACCACTCTTGCTAGGAGCCATTACATTAAACAAAAGAAGTAGAAAAGAAAAAAGCTTGCAGACAAAAAGAGAACTCAACAAAATGTAACGTGTCAATTTCAATGTTGACAAAAAGATTCCTCAAACCTTCCTCTAATATTTTATTGCTATAACAATTTCATTATGTTGTGGAAATCAACTGCATGATCATTAAGGAAGCTTGTAAAGAATACTCCTAAGTTAGTTTGGAAAGGAATTCAATTAAAACTTGAAACAGGAAGTCTCAAATATTGACTGCGATAAGAGATACGGTTACGAAGAATTATTTTTACCAGCTAATGCATATGAAGCATACACAGACATTAACAGAAGAAAGATCCTATAAATATGGAAGATACAATTATAGTGATCTTTTTTCTACGTTAATTTTATCTGAAACATTTGAGACATGGCTTTGAAATGTGCCAAAAATGCACTGGTAGATCCAAAAAATCAATGGCAGCAACAATCTTACTTTTAATTGAACAGGCCTCTTTTTATTGGATAATGATGTAACCAAGCCCTCTTCCTTAGTGCTACATAACAGGTACCTTGCAAGAGATCAGATGTTGGTAATTTGGCCCCTACATCCAGCGGCAACAGTTGTGCTTTGGCTAGTATTGGGCAGGGCATCAGCTAGCACCATCCCTTGCATCATGATCAGTCCTCTCTCTCTCTCTTTATATTTGCTCTTTTTTATAAAATAACTGTAAATCTCTTTGTTGGCTATGATTTGGAATTATTGTCTATACTTCATCTTGGCTTAAATTGGAATGTTTTAAATTTTGTTGGCTGAAGATGTGTTGCATTGCAACAATTCTGTTTTGTTAATATCAGTTTTAGAAAGCAACAATAAATTAATTAAGCATACTAGTTCATAACAAACCCCAGGTTCAAAATTTGTCATAATCGTCATATTTATCTATTCATATCCATACAACATGATTGTCAGAAATGCCCCAGAGACAACACTAGTAATCACATATTATCTACTGAAATGAAAAGGTAAACAGGCCATGAAAAGATGAGAAGTTAAAGGTATTATATATCTTTTACAAATTCAAAATTGCAAACCATACTCATAGCAAGAAGTTGGTCAAGGTATACATAAAGTCCCTCTGTTTCCCAAAACACTTGCTAGTGATTTTATGAGGCCATTGCTTAGCTACGTTCTTCCTACCTCATTAGGCCATCCCTCAACGACAAAGACATCCAGAGAAAATCCATCCTTGGTGGAAAATGCATGAGCTTCTTGAATATTCAGTCCCATCTCACCAAGTATTGAAGTTAACTGCAATGCATAGTAATGGGTGACACACGGCCCATAATGTAAAGTACAATTGTTCTATCTTATAATTGAAGTATTTTATTTTAAGCCATTGATAATGTAAAAAGTTTTAAATAGTCATATCATGTAACGAATTTGCCACCTCATGTAAGTCTTTAACATTATCAAATTCATCTAGTGATGTGATAACACATCATTATGAGACAGTGAAAAACATTTTTACATTGATAATGCATCAAAATTAAACTCGCTTAAGAACACAAAGAATTTTATCCTTGTGCAATGAATATCCATTTGAGTTAGCCACAGATTTTGCAAATAATTATAGCTTTCAACGTAAATGAAATTTCCCTTTTTTCAAAGTATAAAAGAGCAATTGAAATAAGCCAAAGTAATCATCAACACTCTCACCCCCAAGAAAAAACAGTTAAAGTAAAACACTCTTCTTTAGCATTTCATATTATATACAATAAATTATATATATTTTTTTGAAAAGGGATGTGTTTATACGAGAGTGGAGGTGTGATTATTTGCCTATTACCCACGTGATTTTTTTTATATTTTTTTTTCTATTCCCAACCTTTATTGACTAAACAATTACCATTTGTAAATTGGCACCAACGAATTTTACCCATTATATTTATTTGATTCAACGTATTATATGTATTTAATGATCTCATTTGTCTTATTGTAGATATATAATACCTTTAACTTCTCATCTTTTCATGGCCTGTTTACCTTTTCATTTCAGTAGATAATATGTGATTACTAGTGTTGTCTCTGGGGCATTTCTGACAATCATGTTGTATGGATATGAATAGATAAATATGACGATTATGACAAATTTTGAACCTGGGGTTTGTTATGAACTAGTATGCTTAATTAATTTATTGTTGCTTTCTAAAACTGATATTAACAAAACAGAATTGTTGCAATGCAACACATCTTCAGCCAACAAAATTTAAAACATTCCAATTTAAGCCAAGATGAAGTATAGACAATAATTCCAAATCATAGCCAACAAAGAGATTTACAGTTATTTTATAAAAAAGAGCAAATATAAAGAGAGAGAGAGAGGACTGATCATGATGCAAGGGATGGTGCTAGCTGATGCCCTGCCCAATACTAGCCAAAGCACAACTGTTGCCGCTGGATGTAGGGGCCAAATTACCAACATCTGATCTCTTGCAAGGTACCTGTTATGTAGCACTAAGGAAGAGGGCTTGGTTACATCATTATCCAATAAAAAGAGGCCTGTTCAATTAAAAGTAAGATTGTTGCTGCCATTGATTTTTTGGATCTACCAGTGCATTTTTGGCACATTTCAAAGCCATGTCTCAAATGTTTCAGATAAAATTAACGTAGAAAAAAGATCACTATAATTGTATCTTCCATATTTATAGGATCTTTCTTCTGTTAATGTCTGTGTATGCTTCATATGCATTAGCTGGTAAAAATAATTCTTCGTAACCGTATCTCTTATCGCAGTCAATATTTGAGACTTCCTGTTTCAAGTTTTAATTGAATTCCTTTCCAAACTAACTTAGGAGTATTCTTTACAAGCTTCCTTAATGATCATGCAGTTGATTTCCACAACATAATGAAATTGTTATAGCAATAAAATATTAGAGGAAGGTTTGAGGAATCTTTTTGTCAACATTGAAATTGACACGTTACATTTTGTTGAGTTCTCTTTTTGTCTGCAAGCTTTTTTCTTTTCTACTTCTTTTGTTTAATGTAATGGCTCCTAGCAAGAGTGGTGGCTGTCATGTAAATTTATCAGGATTTTGAATCTTTTGCCTTTCTATCCATTGATTTTGTTACATGCAATTCTTACATGTTCATAATAGTTATAATTTTATAATTAAATTTATGATATTTTAGAGAAAAAGTATTATATAAATTGTTCAGTTTACTAATATATTATGTTCTCTCGCTAATATTGCTTACTTTTTAAGTATATAATCATAATTATTTTTATACAAATTTTATAATTATTTTTACTTTTAAACTTTTATAATTATTTTACACTTTCTTATATTAATAGATTATTTTATTATATAAATAATAAAAATATAATTTTATTTTATAAAATTTGTATATAAAAATATGTTGAAGGGAGGAGTGCCTTTATATAATAAATAAATAGATATTGTGACGTTCGTAATAGACAATACGTAAACGTTGTCAGAGACAAAGGTATTAAGGAACCTGGCGAACCTTCGAACATTGGCCCCTGACTTTTTAAATAAATATAAATTTTTATTTGGCCCCTCCGAACTTACAACCCTACCTCCGTTCCTTGTACATTATTTTGTACAGAATTAGACACGTGTATAGAGGACAAATTATATTTATATTTTATTTTGTTTAAAACTTATTCTCTTTTTTTCTTCTCATATCTAAGTAAAAATATATAAATTTAACTAATTAAATTCATTTTATTTACTTATTAGAATTTTTTAGTCCAACATGACTAGTCAAGCATATAAATTAGTATATTTAGGAGTTGTATTTAATTGATTTTTTAATGTTTATTTTAGATTCTAAAAGATTTTGTAGAAATATAATATTTTAAAAAATTTTAAAAATGTATAATAAAGATTTAGTAATTTTAATTAAAAAAAATTTATATAAAATTTATAAAATTTAGAAATTTTTTATAATATTTTAAAAGATAACATAATTTTTTAAAAAATAATATAATTAACGAAAAAAATGTGTTAAGGTTTAAATAAAGAAAGATATTTTTTTTTGTAAATAAAGAAAGATAAATTTAATACATGTTTTTTTATTATATAATATATAATTAATTTTAGTTTTATATATTCTTAAATATCTTTTTCATATATATATATAAATATATTGACATCTTCTTATTCATTCTCCTCAAAATTGAAAATTCATAAGGAGAATTGTCTTGATTTGAATTTTTTTATTTTATATTGTTTTAATCATGATTTAATTTTAAATATTTTGATTTAAATTTACTTTATTTTATATTGTTTTGTTTTAATCATTTAATTTAATTATTATAATTTAGTTAAGACAGTTTAATTTTTATTATATTAAACAATTGAAATTTTAATATTAAGTTTTACACAAATAAACATTATTCAAATATTAAATATTTTAAAGTTTTAAAATAAAATGATTTTTAAGAGTTTTTTTCCTTCACATATATCGGATTCGATTTTTTTTAAATATCTTATCATTTTAATTTATTTGTCATTTTTTTTAATATATTTCTCATATATATATTTTTTAAACTAGTTGTTTAGTTTGGACATAATAAATATTTATTTTTATAGAACTCAAATTCATAGTAAATGAATATTATCGAATATATCAATAAGGTTCATTAGTTGATATATAACTTAAGAATATTTTTGCAAATCAAGAGCAAACAACATTAAATGTATAAATATATTATACTTAGATTTTATAATAATTAAATTTTTTAATATATAAATTATATTTTAAAGTTATTGTTGCGGGTTGCATCAATTGTCTCGTGGCGGAGGCTAGGTGGGCCAAATCACTGTCGAATCATGACGCTTGGGCTGCTGCGCTCTTAAATAAAAAGAGTTGCGCCCTGACTATCAGCTATAGTTTTTGGCCTAGTGGTAAGCGCTCGATCCAACAATTGGTATCAGAGTCAAGGTCATGAATTCGATACCCAGCGGAACAATTGCTGAGGGGTGATTGTTGCGGGTTGCATCAATTGTCCCGTGACGGAGGCTAGGTGGGCCAAGTCACTGTCGAATCATGACGCTTGGGCTGCTGCGCTCTTAAGTAAAAAGAGTTGCGCCCTGACTATTTATCATGATAAAATATTATATATAACTATTTGATATTTTTTTATGAAAAGATATAACATTTAAATTAAAAAAATAAGATATGAAAATTATAAATTAAAACAGATAAGTAGTTGAATAAAAAATATACAAGTGATAAGGATTCTTAAAATCTTTTCAATTAAGAAAAAATTATAACAAAATTTTCATTGAAAAATGATTTTAAAAAAAGTAATTATTATATTTTATATCTATTATAAAGGGAATATTAGAATTTATAACTGTTTTTTGTCTTCATTTTTTTTAGTGAATCATTATATCTCTCGGATGAATTTTTTTTTTTTATATCTTTTTTGAATAACTATTTGTAATCTTTTAATATCTGTTTATGTATAACTATTAGGACATTTGATAAGGAAGAAATTTTTTCATATTCAAAAATCTATGTTTTGTTACTTATAAATGTTCTTAAAAACATTTATATAGGATTTTGAGAATTAAAATTTTTTATATTTGGTTACACTATTATATTTCTATGGATATAAATATTTATTATAAAAATATTATTTATTAAAATAAATTTATCAGATATATTTATTTGCTCACATTTTATTATAAATATGACATTAAACTATTTTAAAAAAATTAAAACTTGTAGCTAAAATTATTTAAATATAGATTTCAACAAAAAAAAAAAACAAACAAAAAAATGCTACATAATTATTATTATATATATATATATATCATTCATTCAAATAAATAAATAAATAAATTATAATGTTAACAAACATCATTAAAATTGACAAGGTTAAAAAATAATGAAATATAAAAAAAGTAAAAAATAAAGATATGGAAGAGAGAAAGAGAGAAAGAAGGAGAAAGAGAAATAAAAAAAAAAATAAGAGAAAAAAAGAGAGTGAGAGGGAGGGAGAGGGAGGGAGAAAGAATGGGGGAGTAAGAGTGAGGGAAAGAAAGAAGGAAAGAGAGAAGGAATGGGAGAGATAGAGAGAGAAAAAGAGAAAATAAAAATTTAATTTAAAAAAAAAACTTATGATACTTTTTACATACATTAAATTTTTCTCTTAACTTTAGAAAGTTAAATTTCCATTCTAAAAATATTTTTTTTTAAAAAGTAAAATAAAAATGATTTTAAAAAAATTATATTCATAATGATTTTAAAAAAATTATATTCATAATAATTTTTTTAAAAAAATAGCTACCTAACATAAAAAAAATTAAGATTTTTACCTTTTAATTCTTAAGAATATAAAAATATTTCATATATCAAATATTTATTAATTAACTTTTCGCCCAAGTTTTAAGTAAATATGAAATAGGAGCCGTTGATCTGATAGGCGATGGACGGTGGAGCGTCGAAACATGTGGAGCCCACAAAGGCTCCGTATGCCTTCGTCCACCTTTTCTTTTTTGGTTTTGATTTTCGTTGCCGTTTCCTCGATTTTGCTCCTTCTCTCTAACGTCACCTATTCTCTATTTATTTATTTATTTATTTTTAAATATATATATATATATATATATATATATAATTATATAATATTATTCGATTTATATTTACACATATATATATTCATTATTCTCTCCGATTGATTCGATCGTCTATCTCTTCCTTCTTATTCATCTTCAATTCCTCTCTCTCGTACGCATGGAGAACGACACCACCGCCGCCGCCGCTAACAATAACGCCACCGCGAAAGTAGGTTCGGAAGGAGTGAAATCGAACAACCATAACCTAGAAGAGGAGCATTCGAATTTGAATGGCGAGGAGCACATGGCAGAAGAAGTGGAGACAGAAGAAGAGGAAGATCGAGAAGCGGAAGAAGGCGAAGGAGAAGCAACTGGATCTGCGCCCAACGCTCGCCAACCTTCTAGAACCCCTTTCACTAATCTCAGCCAGGTCGATGCTGACCTCGCCCTCGCTCGAACCCTTCAGGAGCAGGTTTTCCCCTCTTCTCCACAATCTATTACAATTTCACGCCTCTCGTTCAATCAAAATTGACTGAACTCTAAGCTTTAGCAATCCAAATTCAACACTGCTTCGCCAATTTTGTGTTATCTAAATTATTTTCTACATAGTATTACTTTGAATTCTCGTGGACTAGCATTGTTTTTGAACTGCGTGTATGTATTTATGGCAGTGCCAAACGTGTTTTCTCTATAGTATTAATGAAGATAATGAATGAATGTTGTTGTTTAATAATAATGGGATTAATATAAGTTGTATTCATTAGGCTCCCTGTCTCCCCATGTGTTTTTTTTTTCTTTCTTTTTTATACTTATATAAACTCAAATGTAAATACAAGTATTGGCTTTTTTTTTTCTTTTTCTTTTTTTCTTTTTCTTATTTATATTGTGTTGTTTAATTATTGAACAGGAAAGGGCATATATGATGCTGAGGATGAATAATGAAGGAAGTGATTATGGAAGTTGGGAAGGCGGAAGCTATTTGCATGATGACGGGGATGATTTTGATGATCTACAGGATGGTACTGATGTGGATGAGGATGATGACGAAGATGACGATAATGAGGAAGAGTACGAGGATGAAGATGCATTTGATGTCCATGCTCATGGTAGTGCCGGAGAACATGATAATCCCAGCATTGAATTTGATCCAGATGTATTTTCAAGTGATGAGGCATATGCAAGAGCTTTACAAGAGGCTGAAGAGAGGGAAATGGCAGCTAGACTGTTGGCTCTTGCTGGGATAAATGATCGTAAGATTTCTTGGCTGACTGTAAATTGATGGATTTTTATTTTATTCTTTTTTGAAATTGTTCAGCTGGTACGAGTGTACAACTAGTTTCATTTTCAATTACAGGTGAGGTGGAGGACATAGAGGAGCATGGTGCTAATTCTCAGGTAAATATCTCTATTTTATGTGTATATGTATGTATGCTCACTCATAACCATGGATATTATACCAAACATTTAAAAGGCGTGAAATCTCTGTACTATATAATTTGGTGTATATTTTATGGTTCCTTGTAAAAAAGATATTTGGGGTAGATTTAAAAGTGAGATATTGAAATTTATAAAGGGTGCTAATATTTGGATTCCCACAAATTACAAATACTTAATCAATATCTTTTTTTTTTATTTTTTTATTTTTTTTATCACATCATATGACCAATCATATCAATTACATATCTCTCTCAAGATGTAGATATTGAAGAAATGTCCAAGAATCATTCTTATTTGTACCACAAATAAATAATTAATCTACATCTACATTATGTACTAGAGCCGACTCCTTCAATGGATAAACATCTTAATTCCATCTCTAAACATAGACCGTTCCCCCAGAGGTACTTGCTGCAAGCGTCCCAACCTCACAAGGGTATGCACCAAATTGGGCATGGAATGGCAGACATGTATGGGTAAAGTCATAATTGTTTTCTATTGAGTTGGGGAGATGACATCAATTTATCTTTTGATGTTGCCGGCAAATATGTATGAATCATCCCAACCTCATATTGCTCTGAAAGTAGAAAGGTTATTTCTTATGTGTTGATGGTAGATAGTTTCCATGTCATTGTTGTTAAGTCCATTCATGGTCATGGAAGGTGTGCCTCTTATCATGACCATCTGTCCAGGAGGCTGTAGTAGGTTGTTGGAGTGGAGCTGCAGAGATAGAGCTTCCATGATCAGGATTTCGTATACCATCTTAAAATTTGGTCTTACGATTTGATACAATTTGGCTACCTATAGATTTGTGTCATGAGATGAATCTTAAATGACTTTGTATCTTGCAATACATGAACGAATCTATACAATTTCGTATCATTGATACGATTCAACGACTCAATATTATTTTTTTACCTTTCACCAATTCTCTTGAAAAAATTGAAAGTCATATAAGCTTAAATTTGATAAATGAGAAGGAATTAAAGAAACACTTATGAACTTATCCTATTTCATTATTCCATTACTCAATTTGTCACTCACTCATTTGATGCATATACTCTATTTAGCTATTTACTTGCTTTGTTTCCGTCCTTCTAAAACAAGGTTTCACAAACTCGGATATAACTAATAATTTTGTTCTACAAGACTTCTGCTTAAGTTGTTTTAACTATTTATTGTTTAAATTTTTTAAATTGAATACTATATATCATCTATATGATATATTTGAAGTAATTTTTCATTGTATCTGAATCTTATAATTCAATACAAAATATTATTCAAGATTCAAAACTTAGCTTGGTGATTTATGATTCGAATCCTTATTTGATAATCTATTTAACATGTTATTGTAATCGTAGAATTAGTTAGGCTGGATTGATTTGTTACTATTTTTTGGATTGTAGAATTTAAACATGCAACTGTAATGCTTTTAATTGACTTAATTCTATAAATTCTTCATGTTGATCATCTGATTTTGCAGGATGCTTGGGAGGATGTTGATCCTGATGAACTTTCATATGAGGTACCTTTGATCTACATTCTACACCAAAGTTGTGTCAAGCTGTCCATTACCCCCATCTCCCTGTGACTCATGTTTAAGAGTAAACTTCAATTATTTCAGGAATTACTTGCATTGGGTGAAGTAGTTGGAACTGAGAGCAGAGGTCTTTCGAGTGATACTATTGCTTGTTTGCCTTCAGTCAACTACAAGACTGGGAGTGATCAGCATGGAAGCAATGATTCGTATGTGCAAATTCTGTTACTTCTAACCTTAACTGTGTTCATGATATACCACCGTGTTTTATTGTTGTGGCCCTGTTTCAGGTGTGTCATTTGCCGAATGGACTATGAGGATGGTGAGTCCTTGACAGTTCTTTCCTGCAAACATCTGTACCATCCTGAGTGCATTAACAATTGGTTGAAAATAAACAAGGTATGGTTTTGCCTTATCTTTTACATTTGGTTGCATTCATGTGGTCAATGAACATATTTTCATGTTTCTATTATTTTTTAATTTCCACATACGCAAGTTCTAATTTATGGTCCCATTAGGTCCTTAATATATTCACCTCTATGCATCTGGTTTGATAATGCTTCTGTTCCTTAATCCTAAGAGAGTTAAAGGGTATATGGATATTCTTTTGTGGTTGTTGGTCTTGTTCTCCTTTTGAGGTCCTTTAAATACCTTGAGTTGAACTTGGACTGCACGGTACATCTGTTTCTGTCTTGCTTTTAATCAATCCCTTTCAACCTATTTTCTTCTTATTAGAGAAGTCTGATTTGAAACACTTTAATCCAAAAAGGCTCCTTTCAGTCCTTTGTCTTGAAATGAGTTCCAGGCCTTGTTTACTCTACTGCTGTCTACAGAAAGAACAAATCAGTTGTTAGACCACTTATGTTGGTAGAGTTGAAGCATGAACGATGATTGTTCCACCTCATTTTTCAGGACACAATATTATACTGTGCCCTTAACTATTTTCATGATAAATCTCTAGTTCTTTATAGGTTCAAGTTTCAATTACAAAACCTAGTGGTAATGGATCAACAATTCATAAATTACCCCCATCATTGTGATCAAATTTGATTTAGTTTCTCTAGAGTAATTGCAGTGCAGAAGCTGTTGAGTAACCCTTGGCTCTTTGTCTGCAGGTTTGCCCAGTTTGTAGTACCGAGGTATCTGCTTCTGGGAGCAACTTGTAGGAGGATTTAGTAGATGTTCTTCACTTCAAATTGAAGAAAATTTGTGCAACTTGGGGGGTAATATCCCGTATTTTATTAGCATTGCCATGTTGGGGAGATAGTCTGTGCTCTATTGTTTCCAGCTCCTTCGTTTTAAATGTAACATGTAACTTTTGGAACCAGCTCTCTAGATTGTGTTTTTTTTTTTAATGGAATGAATGGCATTAAAGTGGCCAGCTCTTTTACAGGGTCCGAACAGTGGAATTTTAGTTTAAACAACGCAATATTTAGAAGTCAGTGAATGTTAAAAAAGGTAGGGAGGGGTGGAGCCAGCAGTTCATTTTATGAAAGTGATTATTGGAAATGTCAAATGTGTTCAAATTTAAAAATAAGTAAACGAAAATAATATAAAGGGGGAACGGAGAAGCTTTTATAGATGCTACGGGTGTTGAATTGGTGATGACGGTTACTTACAGAACTAAGGCAATGTAGTGCCCTAAGATTGCTGTTATAAAGGTCACCAACGGGTGTGATGACGTGCAGAGAATTCATTTGACTGCACGTGTTAAGAAGGCATTTTCGAATCAATAGAAACCAGATGTTGTTAGGTTGGGAAAGGGTTCCCCAGCTTAGAAAGTATTGCTCTTTGGGTTCCCAGTTGAAATTGTTTCCTTCCCGAAACCAAATAAATCCAGAACGAGAATAGTTCTAAGGAGTATTGCAAACTTTATTAGAGCAGCTCCACGACAAAGGGTTATAGCTACAACACTGGAGTTGTACGGTTCCTTCTTAATTCTTGTACCAAGTTTTTCTTTTGCTTAAAAAAGGAAGTATTTTAGTGACTAAAGATAGCAAAATACGATCGCTATGCCGGAAACATTAATGCCACCTATAGTTAAAAAGGAAAATTATGAAAGGCTCATTACAGCGATGCAAATTTGCACATACGAATCTCGTTTTTCCCTCATCGCTTCACTACCTTTTCTAACCATCAACTTGACAAGTAACGTGTATTTTCATAAATTCTTCAGTTGGCGTTCTCTTTTAGTAACAAAAAATCCGGCGGAAATCCAAACCATTCAAACTGTTTTACATGATAAGTTGAGGGAAAAAACCGTAAATAACATGTTTCTCACATAAAAAAAATTCTCTAAATCACCAATTTTTTCCTTAAATTTGTACAATCAGTCAATTTATTGAAAAATGTAAAAACTATTTATATTAACGTCAAATTAAACAGATTAATTCACATCATGTAAGCGATCTAAGAAATTTCTAATTTCAGTTATTTTTTTATTATGTTACATATATTTATTTGACAAAAAAATAAATATGAAATTAATCAATATATAGGCTATAATTTGTTGATACCAAATGTCAATATTAATAAAATTACACTTTCAATAACTTTTGTAAAATACAAATTTTCAACTCAACCATTGTATTAAAATTTCTTATTAATTATATCAAATATATAAAATTTCATAAAACTTTAAATTATTTAATAATTCATCACATCATTTTACTCTAATATATAATATGATATTTAATATATATATATATATATATATATATATAAATATTCATTATCGGATAACATCTAAAAAAAGTTCAAATTATTTAAAATGTCATATACATAATTATAAATATAATATCATATAATTTAAGAGTTCTTGGTTAATTTTTCATTCTATAAACCATTTTTTTTATTAAAGAAAGTTGGCTCACATCAATAACTTTCTCCTCTAATCAACCGTGATACAAGCGAGATGATATAAATCGATAAATTAAATATATCCCATTTCACATTAATATTTTGTCACATGTTTTGGATTTGAATTATTAAACATGATATATTTCATTTCTTTTGTTTCTCATTTCAAACAAAGCAAGGGAAAAATGATTATTATTATTTTTTTCACTTTCTTTCCTCTTGTATTCCGTCTGGATCCAAATGAAGTATAGCCGCCAACTTGACAAATGACAAGCAACATGTATCTTCAAAAATACCAGAGCCTCCTTTAGCAGTCGCACTCCATTTGATTTAACTTTCAGTTCCAATAGTTTACGGACAATGTGTAGGAAGTTTTCCCTCTTCCCTCAGAACTTGAATACCTGAGGATGTTATGTGATCCTTAGAAAATTTCTCTATTGCCTCCATCACAATGGAGTAATTTTTATCATGGGATTCTGGAAAAAATCCCGAGTAAACCATCTCTTTAAAAATCTCAAATGCAGAGGCCAAATCCTTATCCAATAGAAAAGCATTTAGCAATGCAATATAAATGAATGAGTCAGCTTTCATTTCTTTATGTTCCATCTCACGTAAATAATGGAGGGCTGTAGTTGGCCTACAACATTTGCATAGACCATTAATAAGTGCCATAAAAGCAATTCGATTAGGAGAACAACCTTTTCTTTCCATGTCATTCCAAACCAAGAGTGCATCATCAGGCCTTCCTGCTCTGCACAATCCATCCACCAAAGTTGAGTAAGTAATGACATTTGGTTCCCTGTCTTCTCCAGACATTGTGGAAAGAAGTGCCATAGCCTTACCAATAGAACCATTTTTGCACCAACTATCTATGAGCACATTGTAAGTCACAACTGAGGGAGAAAGACCGCTCCCAACAATCACATCCAGCAACTTTTCAGCCTCTGTGACTCTGTTGGCCTTGCAGAGCCCTCTCATCAATACGTTAAAAGCAACCACATCAGGACAGCGGCCACGAGAACACAAATCCCTGAACAAGCTCAATGCTCGATCCACTTCTTGAATGTTGATCAAGCCCCCCATAGCAGCAGAATAGGAAACTATATCTGGAAGGAAACCTTCTTGAACCATGCTGTCAAGAAAATTGCATGCTTCTACAGCCCTCCCGTGGTCACATAGTTCTTTCACAAGAAGTGTGGAATTTTTTATCCACGGTTCAAGCCCACAAGCCCGCATCTCCTTCAACAAATCAGTGGCTCCTAAAACATCCTTTCTTTTACACAGGCATCCATATATCGAGTTGTAGGTGAAATGCGTTGGTTCAATTCCTGATTCTTTCATCTCTCTCAAGAGCTCACGGCTTTCCTCCAATCTATTAGAACCGCAAAGACAATTGATCAGATTGTTGTAAATCAAAACACTTGGCCTACCAACAAATTGTTTCATATCATTGAAGAGGTTCAGGGCAAGGTCCAACTGACCATTTTTGAGCAAGCCATCAATGACAATGCTAAAGGAAGCCTCATTCGGACAAACCAATCTCTTGATCTTGAAGAAAACATTCATCTGAACTCCAGCACTGGATTCGCCCCCAATCATCATCCTCAGAAGGCGGCAGGCTTCATCCATCAACCCATCACTAACATAACAAGTCAAAACAGCATTGTAAACCAAAACAAGAGTTCGCTCGTCTTCCTCTCCCTTATCCGGAACCTCTTCCAGCAACCTAACAATCACACTTCTGGCCGGAAAAGCCGATATTAACTTAGTAAAGATACCAACGTCCGGTGCAACCCCGAACTCCTTCATATCCGAAAGCAAGCTCAAAGCTCTAGGAGCATCATTAACCTCACACAACCCTCCAATGAGAACATCAAACAAGGAAACATGAGGAGTGAAACCAACCCGGCACATTTTATCAAACAACTGAAGCGCCCTATCAACCCGGCCCTCTTGCACAAACCCATGAATCAAAACACAAAAAGTCTTGTCATTTAGCCTCATCCCACGCCCCTCCATCCTCTCCACCAGCTCAAAGGCCTTATCCACGTCACCCCACTTGGAAAACGACAAGGCCAACACAGAGCAAACGTTTTCATCATCCCAACCCTTCTCCCTCATGACATCAAAAACCCTCAAAGCATGGTCAAATTTGCGAGCTTTACAATACGCTTGCATCACAGGGGTCAACGTGAACTTATCAAACTCCCACCCAAACCCCTTCATCTCCTCCAACTTCTCTTCCATCAAATCAACATCCCCAGACTTGGACAGAGCCTCCAGCAAGCAGTTGTAGGAGTAGTCGTTGGGAACGCATAGACCCTTTTGGCGCATTTCGTCGAACAGGTGAGAGGCCTCGTGGGAAAGGCCCACATGGCCCAAACAGCGAATGAGGAAGCCCAGGGCGCCGGGGGTGAAGGAACAAGGGGTGGAATCAGTGAGGTTTTTGGCGAGGGCTTTGAGAGGAGCGGTTTGGCGGGAACGGGAGAGGATGGAGGCGACGGCGTTGTAGGTGTAGCAGGTGTGGCGGTAGCCGTGGTGGCCCTGGTCGGAGGCCCAGTGGAAGAAGGAGTGGGCTTGCTTCCAACTGCGGAGGCGCATGAGGACGGACTCGACTAAGTGAGGGGTGAGGGTGGGTGCGAAGCGGTTGAGTTCGTTGGGTTGTTTGGAGAAGACGGAAATTAGGGTATCCACCATGGAAGCATCAGAGTGATTATGGGGCGTTGTGGAAAAAGAGAGTTTGGTGAAGACAGAGGAAAAAGGAGGGAGTTTGAGCTTCTGGGTTCCCACTGCCATCAGAGACACATCAACACGACGAAGACGACAACTTTTCAGGCTTTCGCATTTACAACACCTTCAAATTCAATATTTAGCGGTTTCACGTCGTGGGGCCCAGAGAATGAAGGAGTTTACAGAAAACTTGTTTCATCATATAATTAATAAAATTAATAAATTTTTTATACTTTAAAATCACTTATATAATTTATTATTTTTAAGGATTATTTAGAAGAAATGAGTAATGCTTAATGGATTAAATGTGTTTGAGAAAAGAGTAATCACTTATCATATTCTTTGTGGATGTAAAATCTATAAAAAAAAAAACCTCTATGCAAAGTTTACTAGCTCAACAACAATTTCAGGCTGGTGAGAGGAGCATTGAAGTGAACTTTATGTGAAGTGGTAAGGGTTTTAAAGTGTCATTGATAACTCACAGAATCAGATTTGATTTCTCTCTTGCACATGACAACATGGTGTTTTCCTTTTCAAGGAATCAAAACTCAAAAACAGAAAATGATAAAGAGTGAACTTTTACCATTAGCTTTACGTGTAAGGATGATGTGGTAATGTTTTGGCAATTTTCTTTTCCACAAAACATTTAATAGCCCTGTCAGCAAGCTCACTTTATGGCATAGTATTATTATAGTTAGATACAACTAAAATTACTGATGGCTTCCTTGATGACTGCCTGTGCTTCAGTTTAGTTTCAATTCATACTATCCAGAAGCTTCATTCCCTTAAATTTTTCAATACAGAGTTGATCTCATGTATTTTTATCCTTCTTAACATTTTGGGAGAGTTTATTTAGTTAGTATAGAATCAATGCCAATGTCAATACGTGCACTATTCAACTTTGTTTATCTTCTTTGTTAGAGCATCTGGGGGTTGCTTATAAGTAATTTCCTGTGCCACATCACTGCTATATCAACTCTGGCCCACTTTATGGGTTGCTTAAATTTTAGCAAAGTAACTTGTAGAAGCAACTTTGCTAAAATTTAAGTAACTCATAAAGTGGGCCAGAGTTGATGTGGCAGTGATGTGACACAGGGAATTGCTTATAAGCAACCCCTGTTGCAGATGCTCTAAGATCTATGTTCCTATAATTAACATAGGCTTTGGGTGGTGATCTCTTTTCCCAATAGGAAATAGTCTTTGGTTAAGGAATATTGTTGGTGAATGGCTCATGAAAAGTACTCATTTCATAGAATTTTCTTTCCTACAAAAAAATAGTAAAAATCCAAAACTTTTAGTTGCTGCTGATATCAATTTCTTCAATGATGAGTCAATCACTCGAAAACAAGACAAAGGCATATCTATGTAGAGAGAATGCTCCCATTTTCCTTGAGAAAGGCAAGAAGAGATTGTGTTGTCTCCTACATCACATGTGGCATATGTGCTGTTTTAATAATTTAACACATCCAAGTCCGAACTTGAACTATTTCCTTACTGCCATCAATCACCATGGAACCTTGTTCCTGAAGATATATATACCTTTCATGAATTTTTAAAATTTTCAAAATTTGACTTGAATATTTCGGTACCATCTTTTTTCTCGAAGCAGCCAAACAATCCATGAAGACAAATTATTATCTTCAATAACTTTCCTTTATGAGAAACATCATAATGGTTCATGATCAAAGGTTGAGTTGTCCCACCAAAGGGTCAAGATTCACTTCCAAGTTTTCATCCCTTTAAATACCTATTTGGAATACAAGGGACTCATCAACCCAACTGAACATAATTCCCTAACAACCTAGTAGTTCAGACCATTCCTCTTCACCAGCACCTAATCCCTTCAATTAAACAGAAACCTTATTAATCATCAATCATTCAGGCCTCACTTCTTCATGAGCTAGTTGTTGGAACTTCAGTCACCTCACCAACATATGATCAGCTTCAAAAGTCATTAACAGATAGGTCCAGCCACTCAATACCAATATTCAACCACAACATTAAAGCAAACTAAGATTTTCTTTTCCTTTACTGACAAACATCTAACTGTATAGATTTTTATTTTTATTATTATTATTATTTTTTTATATACCTGAAATTGTTAAGCTTCGTGAATGGGTGGAGTGGAAAAGGTGTTTAAGCAATTTTTTAGTGGTGGAGTGGAAAGTTTCCCAGTGCTATCTGTCTACCACATTCGGTCCTCTAGAAGGTTTCCTCTTCATCTCCACTGACAAGGTTGCAGTTCTGCTGTGAGAGATCAATGAAAGTCTTTACTCATTAAGGTCACATGTTGAGGATCCATTACAAGTTCAGTCACAAAGTAATATATAAATATGTCCATTGGAATAAACTTTTCAACAAATATTCATAGGAGAAAAAGTAAGGAAGGTAAAATAAATTAAATATCTTTTATAAGTTAAATCAACTTATACAGCTCAAATTTTTTAGAATATCGCTAATATAACTTCTTCAAAAGTTGGCTTATTGGGATGCTCTTAAAAATGTTTATTCATTATATCTCATATTTTCTTATTCTGTAAGGGGTTATCGAAAAATTTATCCTGGCTTTGAGACTAATCTTATTTCTTGGCCTCTCTTATCCAATATTTGTTGAAAATTCTGAAAGGTGTGTGCCATCATGTACAGGTTGTTATTCTACTGAAGAAGATAGTTTACAAAGTAAAAATGTTCAGAAGCCAACACAGAAGTACATAAAGATAGTCACAGTGGATAATTTTGTTTTCTGGTTCATGGGTGTCTTACAATATCAGAAAACTATCAAATATCTTGAGCTTAGTTGGGTACCCATCCACCATGGACAGACCAATGTTAGAAAGGACATTACTGTATACGAAGGAAAAATGAAATATGAAAACAAAGTTGGCTCTGGGTCATTTGGTGACTTGTGAGTTGTTGATGTTTGATGTATATTTGAACTGTACATATCTTTTTAACTGATGTCTCCTCTATGCATTTCTTTAAATTCTTTAGGTACAGAGGCACATATTGCAGTCAAGATGTGGGTATCAAAGTTCTTAAGCCTGAGCGCACAAGTACAGATATGCTGAGAGAATTTGCACAGGAAGTTTATATCATGAGGTTTGTTTGCATCGTTGAATGTACCTCTGTAACTTCTATTCCCATTTACAGAGATATTTGTTTCTCGCCTATCTGCCTTGTGCTGGAGCTTCCTCTTTCCAGTTTACAATTGTTCATTTTGTATTGTACTAGACTATAATCTGGCTTGCACGACCTATAACTGTGATGGATGAATGGAAGTGGTGGGCTTGATGTTGTTTGATAAATTATCTGGATATATTGTGCTATTTATAGTGGTTTATTGTCCATTGAGGATATGCCTTTCTTATTATTCGCCTGACTTGAAAATATGAACTGGTCAGCCATTATTATACTTCTGGTTAGATCTTTTCTGTCTTATTTTCTTCATTTTTATCTCAGTTTGGAAACCAATAAACCCTGGCAGCTTGATACAATCTTATTGCTCCTATTCCAAAAGAGACTTTCTAAAGCTCTTTTACATTCATGCACACACATGCTAAGTTGTGTTACCTACACTGCTGCTCGATTATTTAATGTAAACCAGACTCTAGTTGTAATTTAATTTTTTATGGTTCTAAAAGAAACCCACATTTTAGTTATATGATTTCAATTTTTATGGCAGACTGATTCTGTGAAAATTGGCATCATAGACTGTTAAAATGTATGGATCAATTGATTAATAAATTTTGACTTAATTGCAATCACAAGAAGAACTTCTTTAAAGAAAAACTGTCTGAATTATTTTCTAGACCATTCTGGAAAAGAATATATTAACTAAAAATACTGTCTCAATTTCAGATATTCATTACATCGAATGCTTTTGAAAATATCTAATAATATTTCAATCTTAGTGTAACAGTCTATCCTAGTTTGTCAGTATTGGTGATTACTGATTGGTGATATGGTATTGTTGCAGTCCTGAGTAATCATTCTACCTTTACCAACTCTTGTTTATCTTGGATTGCAGGAAGATTCGACACAAGAATGTTGTTCAGTTCATTGGCGCATGTACTAGGCCCCCAAGTCTTTGCATTGTTACTGGTAAATAGGAGAGAATCCTTAGAATTTTTTATGGCATATTTATGTTTCACGGAATTTGTTTGTTTAGAGGGTGAGCCTTGGTTTAATGATAATGTTACTGCATTATAACTTGGTGATCATGGATTTTAAACGACCTCTCTGCTTATGGCTGAGGCTACTAGGAATGGCAACGGGACGGGTCGGGTACGGGTTTTATGATACCCGTCCCCGTCCCCGCGACACAAACTCATTCCCGTACCCGTACCCGTACCCGCCGGGTATTTAATTTTTATCCCCATCCCCGTCCCCATCGGGTATCGGATATACCCGTACCCGTACCCGTAAAAAATTATTTTTTTTTTGCAAAAAAAATTTATAATATTTTTAAATTATTTTTCTATTATATTATAATTATAATTAGATTATTTCTTTATCACATATTTGAATCAAGAGATTTCTTAATAATTATACAACTATAAATATTTTACATTATAATAAATAATTACA